AACAAGGTAATTTGGTTACTAATCTGTCCAATTTTTATTTTTATGCAACATATTTTGTTGAAGATTATTTGTCCCTTAGTTTGGGTTACTGAAAATGATCTAACTCTTTGTACTTTTAAATGTAATTGTGTAGCTGTTTTGGAAGAAATTATTGATATGGTGGCACCACTGTCTACAACACACTCTAGACGTTTCTTATTCGACAAATATCCCGACACCTTTAATAGTCAAATACTGTGAGGGGTTTCTGGGGTTGGTTCTATTGCAAGAACGTAACATTAGGTGTATCAGATCTCTCCCCTTTGAAAGGACAAACCTGAAACCAGTGAAAAGCATTTGGGATTCCGTTCCGGGTGCAAAATCTACAGGGACTGGGTGGCAATGGCAATCTATTTTGAGAATTATAATTATGATGGCTTGTAAATCTTGGACCACTGAACCGATTATAAAAATTACTTGGTCTCTGAAAACGTTGGAAATTGTTGGGTCTAGGAGAATCTTGTCTCACAGTAGTTTCATAGCTTGAAGCTGAAATTCTACTTCTATTAAATCGATTGTAATCTTGGGGACTGTTCCCAATCGGAGTAACAAATCTGGGAGGTGCACTTTTGATTTGTTGATTTTCGCTAATCTTAATAAGCTTATGGACATGAGTAAGCCAAGAGATGGGGTCAGAGGGTGCGTTGATCGTCATTAAGGATTTTAATTCTATAGGAAGGCCATCCGTCAGACCCTCCAAGATCATTTCATGAGTTAGATTTAATTTTTTACCAATATCTAATTTTTTGCGAAAATATTGCGTTATGTCCTCTTTATGATTGTACTTGTAATTGGCAAAATCACCAAACGTAGTTAAAGTGGGGTCGAAAAAATTTTCCTTTAAAATTTGGACTAATTCCACATATTTAGTAATTTTATGGCAGTTTTTGACATATACGCTAAGTGCATTACCTTTTAGATATCGAGCTACATTATTAAGCTTCCACGTTTCATCTTTATCTAAATGAGTTTTGTTAAAGTACTCAAGCCATGAATTTATATCCATATCATTCTGCGCGTCAAAGGGAATTATACTTGTTTCAGGTTCAGCGCTAGCTGCCCTTAATGAATCATCAGGATCAGAGATGTTTTCATTAGCCATTATTCTCTTAATAATACTTCATAATAAAAAAACTACTTTCATAAATAAAACTAACTCAAAAATAAATACTCTTTAAATTTTCCCCAAAACAATATTAAAACCAAAATACATCCTTTAAATACCAAATTTAAAATACATTTATACCAAAATAATACTTTTTAAAAATTTTCAAAATAAAAACACTATTATTAAATCAGTAATTATAATTCAATAGTAATAATATCATTTGCATCGCCAATCTTTTTACTAATTGCTTCTGTTTGACTTATTGTGACGAGAATACGAGTGATGAAATCGACACGAAAATACACATTTTTGTGCACTCTTGATTAGATTTTCGCAAAACACGATCAATCACCACACAAGCACAAAGCTCTCGAGAGCAACACAGAACGGCATAGACGTAGGGAAAGATTTCCATCCTCAAAAGTAGGTCAACGGTAAGAGCACATTTGATGAACGACGAACTTTCGATGGAAACACAGATCCCGCATCACAGGGGGCAGAAGGATGCTTCTCTGGACGTAACATAATCTGCAGAATACCAGAATACAGGTAACAGAAGGATAATTCTCTTGAAGCAAGAACGCCTAGAGAAAAATGTAGAAACATAGAAGTCGCACAGCGGCAAATTCATCTAAAGTGCGTAACATTTTATCCGTATAATCCTTGGGGTATCTTCTTTTTAAGATAATCCCTTTGAAGGTGGGATTCTACCGGCTTTCTGAAATGTAATTTCTCATACATTATTTGTTTGGTGCAGCCGGGGCAACAGGAATGAGACAAATTTTGGAATATAAAGTGGTAGGTTTATTCTAGCATCCATCTCACAAGCGTTTCTCGTCGTACCTTGAGCAGAAGCCCAATTTATACATATGTGTGTGTCACGAGGCTCCTCCAATCAGTGATATTAATTGAAATCATGAGGTGATGCTATCCTCTCATCAAGAGTGTTCTTAAGGACTTTATGTAATATGACAGATATATGAGTTTGGCGATTTGGCGGGCGCCAACAGGTTAATATATTTTATACTAAAGAAAGGATTTCGCCAAAATTTAGGAACAGGGATGCAATTTAGGTAGTGAATCGCCAACACATTATTAAGCAATATTATTAGAATTTAATTTAATCAATTGATTTAAAAATATCATTACATATATATATATACGTGTGTGTGTATTTGATGATTTGAGAATGTTGATTATGATTATAATAGATGTTTAAGCACAAAGCAGTAGATGTCTGCAGTCATGGCAGATTTTATACATTCACTTTATTTTAGTTCAATGTTTTATGGCCACAAAATACTTGGCACACTAATCATGCTTGCTCCAGAACATAACATTAGCACTTTTGATACTGCCGTAATAGGAAAACCAGCTGCAGTCTAGCTAGGCAATGGTAATATATTGAAATTATATTTAAAAAATAACATTAAAATAAACAATTTTTATTTTTCGCTGTTATATTATAAAGTTTCATTTTGGCAACTTATTATACAATATTTTAAATCTGAAAAATAAACAAGGTATAATGCTATAAAGCACATTTTACAAAACAGCTCTTAGCAAAAGCAAAGTTAGCTATGTAATTAATTAAAAAGTCTTCTTTTTAATTTTTCATAGTAAGCGTTTTTCCGATGTAATTCTCTCAGAATATTCAAAATTCTCAGAATATGCATCAGTTTTCTTTATAAAATTAGCAAAGTGCATTATATTCAGGATGAAATCTTTTAATTTAGAATGCGTTAGTTTCAGTTTCAGTAATTTGATTGGATAATTAATAATGTTCTATAATTATTTTTGGCCGTTTTGAGTTTTAGTTCCATTTTCTATAACATCACCAGCATTCATACCGCATTGTGTAACAGCAATATTATATGAATTAATCTAGAAATGATACTGTCCAGAATAGAGAGGGGGAATACCCAAATTAAAATGAGGAATTAAAAGGCTATTAATAATTTAAGTTATAATTTTGATTTAGAGTGTAATTATCTGATATATTTATCAGATAAATTTGTACTTTGCTTTGTACACTTGTATTCATTTGCAGCCATAGACAACACATAATTTATTGCTGGACAGATTTTGCTAATTCTTGAGATAAGATTTTGCTAATTCTTGAGACACATATTCTTATTCACACATCATCATGGTCACAACAAACACCCAACAGCTTTTGGAAGCTCACATCCTAAACAACGAGTGACTGACAGAATTTACCTGCAATGCATTAGCAGAGCAAGGGAAAGCAGGAAAGCGAATATGCATTCAAAAGAAGTGTGGAAGAATTTAAAGACATCTTGATCTGTCATAGAATAAGTGTCCACATTGCAGGATTACATAAGAAAGCATGATGTGGATTAATTTTAAAGATACACTTTAGATTCATATATAATACACAGTAACGATTTTTAGGTCAGAAAGGAGAATTAGCTAAATTAGAATGAGGAATAAAAGGGACTATTGTCAAATTAAAGCTACAAGGGCTGCCTGAAATATGTGTCACCTCAATAAATAGATGGCAGCTCAAATCAACCAAAGTGGGAGGGAACTTGTTTGGGCATCACCATCAGGTGAAATCAAAAATCATCAAAATCAAAAATCAAAATCTCAGCTACTTTGAATGCGAATTTTTTGTTTGACAATTACTTTTGTGAGTTAATGTGACCATTTTTGCAAAAATAGAAAAAAAAATCAAGTATCCCGCTGTCATTATGTACTTGTTTTTGAAAGGTATATAACACTTACTCAGATTAAAGAGGAGTTGGACACAGTGTACGGGGACTGTGCACCATCATTTACTACTGTGAAATTTTGGGCAGCTGAATTTAAATGTAGCCATACCAACTTGGATGACAGCTCAGGACAGCCAAGAACTGCAACCACTGACAAAACCATCCCTAAAATCCACCAAATGGTGCTGGGTGACTGTTGAATCAAAGAGAGATAGCAGAAGTTAAGTGCATGTCCAAAGAATGTATCTGCCACATATTGAACCAAGATTTATATATGCGCAAACTGGCTGTACATTGGGTGCTGCATTTGCTCACTTTGGACCCAAAACATGTCCAAATGAACATTTGCACCATTCTGTTAGCACAATTCAGGCACAATAAATCAGAGTTTATTTGGACCATTAATCCCTGTAGATGAAACAGGGATTCATCATTACAACCCAAGAAAAAAATGCAGTCAAAGCAGTGGACTGCAAAGGGGAAACGGCTCCAAAAAAGGCAAAAACTGCTCCTTCTGCTGCGAAAGTAATGGTAAGAGTTTTCTGGGACAGTCATGGGATTGTCTTGACAAATTATCTTCAAAAGTGAAAAACCAAACCCCAGAGCATACTATGCAACATTACTTGACAAGCTGAAGGAAGAAATAGTGGAAAAATGGCCACATTTGCAACAGTACAAAATATTATTTCACCAAGACCATCTCATACTTCAGCGGTTGCAAAAACCCACGATTACAGTTTGAACTGCTTGACTACCTGTCCTATTCATGAGACGTAGCACCAAGTGACTTCTCCCCTATGCTAAAAGAAGCACTTGCAGGGCAAAAATTTTCATCAAATGAGGAGGTTAAGAACTTTGTTAATAACTACGTTACAGAGAAAGATTAAACATACTATTTGGGTGGGTTAAAAAGATGGGAGCATTGCTGGAAGAAATCTACAGACTTACAAGGAGACTATATCGAAAAATAAAGGAAATTTTGGAGACAAAACATCTTTCTTTGTTAGGTAGGAAACTTTTCAGACAGCTCTTGTAGTGGTTTTCTTTAACATTTAATATCTTGCATATATAATCTTACACACATACACATATACTAAGATTAAAGAAAACATAATCACATGAGGAATTCCACTCTCTTCTTGTAGAATAATCTGAGTATTCCTTGCTATTCTTGCGCTGAATTTTGTGGGTAAGGCTAAAGCTTCATCAAAGGAATTTGTGTGCAAGGACTGGGTTCCACCAAAAACAGCTGCCATTGCTTCAATTGCAGTACGGACAATATTGTTATAAGGATCCTAATACAAAGGAGAAAAAAATTTTAACCTTTGAATAGACATCTACAGTTTAAAACTATTGAATACATAGAAACAAATTTATAGCTTTCATAAAATATTTAATACTTGCCACATTTAATTGGCCAATACTTAATCACTTTTACATACAGAAGCTGGATTAATAATGATTTAACACGTTGATACAGGCCTGATCTACCGGTGGGTCATACCTGTCTGTTCCGTGGGGCAGCCTGGATTATTCCATGGGCACGGCATGACTCACCAATAGGTCACACTTTTATATAAAAAAATACCAAATTATGCTTGTATATAAAAAAATACAATTATTACACTATATTATAAAATATATAATTTTATAATGTAATAATTTCATTTTATAGTTTTATAATTTATAATTTAAATTTTTTGTTTTTTAATTTTATAATTTGGTGCTGTGCCGCTCCACGAAATAGACCACTAATTCAAGCGCCACAGCACGGAAACAAGAATGAATGTCCGCACTGCCATCAATGTGTTAAGTCTCATTACAAAACAAAATTACCAAAATGCAAAAATTAAATTTAACATCACACTACTTTTCAACATATTGAAAAATAAGCTTCATAAATAGGAACAGATTTTGCTTAAGAAATCAAACACACACAACAAAAAAAGCTCAAAGTTGTTCTTATTCATAGCTAGCAATTTAACAGACAGAGTTAAATGGGTGTTATTTAACTAAAATATTTTATCCAGCAGCTTGCATCTGAAACTCCTCGCTCTCTTTAGAAATTTCTAAAAATTCAGCCATGATGTGAATTGTTTTGAATTATAGGTCCAAATTTAATTTATCTAATGTGTTCATTGTGATGTTTTATTTAATTTAAAGACATATAAATGGAAATTCAGCCTTGAAACACATACATGATTCTTTAATCTTTTTTATCTTAGAAAAAGTAACAAGTCACTGTCAGAATTTTCAGAAACCTTTCATAGCCAAATTATGCCAAGCCTCTACTTCATTTCAACATTGCCAGTAAATAATATAAATGAAATTAACACAAAATTTGTCATATAAAAATTTTTAATTAGATGAGTTCTACAAATAGTCATTACACATTTCTTTAAATATTAAGTATATATTTACAGACTTTACAAAAATATTTACATTACTCACATAATTTACAAGATTTTATTATTTTTACAAGACTACTTTCACAAACAGTTTTTTATACATATCTCAACACTGCTGTGAATTAATATTCTAAAAATGAATCCTCATATCACCCCTAGTCCCTGAAACTCTGGTGATAGTTTGCACTTCTTCTGGCACAACGGCCAGAATGTCCCTTTACACATGCAAATATTTCATTGCAACTTTAATAACGCTGACAACTATATGCTAAATCTTCTTGTCCCATTCTGGAAGGCTTCACGCATACTTGTCTGCAGAGCATCGTTGTCCATGTACCCCTTCTTCCTGATGTATGATTTGATTATCCTTCCACAGAGCAATTTCTGGTATCATAAGTTCTACACTTCGAGGTGGGGAAAGATAAAGGGCTGGTGAATTTGGGATCCATGTCCTATCTACCGGCCAGGGTTCATTCAGGCATTCATGAACAGGAAGTGGGCAGCAGTTCCATCCATGTTGGTAAATAACCACGTTATTGATGCTCAAATTCTACAGCTGTGGAAGCAGTCAGTCTAACATCTACAGGTAAGTAACCTGGGGTATATATTTAGTATAACCTAAAACATTTTAAATATTTTGGGGTCATGGAATCCTCAAAGAAATATGAACCAAAGATGCGTTCTTCAGTCATCCCCACCCAAAACTTTTCTCTCCTCACTGATCAAAGTCTGGCGACTTTGTAGCTCCCTACTGAATTCTTTATGAAACCTCTCCATCAGATGTGTCACATTTTTGTTGATGTGCTTCCATTTATGGGCCCATACACTTGTCACTAAAAGCTCCATCAAAGTGAAATTGCTGGTATCTGATATTGTTCTTCACTGAAAACAGAGACAATGAACTGTTCAACACACACAATCTATTCTTCTTCCCAGGCAGTCACACAGCAATCACATTGAAATTCACGGGAGAAGCACTGTTGCTATGCAGATGATCAGGGGGAGGATTCAGTTCTTAAACATCTTACCATCTTGCAATGTTACATGCGTTGCGTTTAGGTGTAAAGAAATTCCTGGCCACCCTGTATATAAAACTTATATTTATGAAAACATTTTTAACTCATTTAAGAACCTCGTGAAACCTCCTTAACCTCTTGAAATGACTACAATATGTATCTTCAAATTGCTTTTGTTTTCACAGAAATGAATTTCGCTCATCATTTACCAAATATCTTTTCTGTAATTACATTTAAAAGCTTTTAAAGTATCCTAAAATTAATAATTGAATCATAAAATTAGTCAAAGCAATAATCTTCTGTTTCACACATATTTTAACCAAGACTCTATCTATCTCAAGGGGAAAAAATTCTGTAAAGAAGACAGCTGTATTTATACCAAAAGTCAAACAGTAAAGCAAACAGACAGCCCACAGAAATAGTAACAAAACATGAAAAGTTTATTTAGCTCTAATGGGGCACATGCCTTGGGTTTTCCAAATCGTCTTATAATTTTTTTAATATTTGAATTTTTTGTAAATTTTAGGTTTTAAAAACATAAAATTACAAGCAAATCTCATCAGATAAAATGATTGCTTTTATGCTTAAAAAGAACTGAATTTTTTAATTATATATTTTATTCATATACATGATTAATTACTGAATTGACATATAATTTAAATGGATTAATTTAGTCATATGTCTGCAAATCAATTTCGTAATAAAATCAGTAACATTCTTGAGGTTGTTTTTAGCTTTTTTTCCCCATCACGGTTTAAAATTACAGAACCCATACTAAACTGAAACCGTGAAAACAATATATATAAAAATGTGAAATGTACTTTTTATGCTTGAATAACTTTGGATAAAAAATATTGAATTAGAAGATAATTTACCAAAATATTTCATATGAAATGTATTTTACATGAAATATAATTTGCATCAATAGTATCAGCTGCATTGAAAAAAATTACAGGTAAGTTCAATATGAGGTTTTCTTTTGAATCTCCAGTTTGATAAATCAGGCCCCATATAATGTCTGCATATCTATTTCACTTAATTTACATAAATTCATGTAAAATTCAAAATTTTAGTTCTGTGAATTATGATAAAACAAATAGAATATTTTCAAGCAAAACTTTTCTTCTTATCTTAATTTGGCCATCTTATTCACACACAGAAGTGAATTTCTTATTCACACACAGAAGTGAATAAGAAATCTATACTCTCAATATTAATTAATCATTTCTCTTATATCCACCTGTATTAAAAATTCTGCAGGTATTTCTTGATAACAGACTTAGTCATTAATACTGAATATTAATGTACGTCTATTTCTAGTTAAGAGAAAAATCAGTCATTTTGGTAGATTAGTAATTTTGGTATTAAACATGACTAGTTTAATTAAGTTTCTAGTAATTTTTTTACAAAATACTAACTTGTTCTGTTAGAGACCATCCAGATGTTTGACAGTGAGTCCTCAACATTAACGATTTTGAATCTTTAGGATTAAATTTTTCTTTTATTAAATGCGCCCATAATCTACGTGCTGCTCTCATTTTTGCTATTTCCTAAAATATTAAAAGTCATACAGTTAAAATGCAAGACAATAACAGATAATTCAAAGAAACTAATTCAAGAAAATTTCATTTATCAAAACATTCTACAAAACGTAAAAAATAAAAATACTAATCATTATACAATGTTTACTTATTTTTTTATTTATTAATATATTCCTTAGCTCAAAGGAAAACACTGTAGTAAAAATTAATGTGCTGTCATTTTTTTAATTTGACAAATATTTTTAGCTTTTTACAGTTTTCATAAATCGAGTTTTTATTTCATAAATTTATTTACATGCCTTTTCTATCTATAAATTTCCAGGAAGATAACTTATTTCATTCAGTGGGGCATAATAATGCTGACTGGTACAAGTACAGCAATTCACATGAAAAAGATCTTTTAATTTTTTTATACCTTCAGCTTAGTTTTCAATTTTATATCAGTGCTGGAGGAAATTCTTAGCTCTAATAGAAGTCCTTATAAATAAAAGATGATCACATAATGTATTTATTAACTTGTATGATGAAAAATATTTAAGACAAAAATTTTAATGTTACATGTTAAAAAGATGTAAAAGAATATGGATTCAAGCAATACTGTATTAACGTTAAAAAATGCTTAGCAACAGGAAGAACAATATATAACTTATTTCAATTCCTCATACATTAAAAAGCTTTAAAAAATATATGTTTCAGTTGAATGTTTTCTGCAAAGATGAGAGATACTGAGTTCAAGACGTGTAAAATAATTCTATAAATAACAAGCATATTTAATTCACATTTAAAATGATAAAAAATTAAAAATTGAAATAAAAATAAGAAATATTTTGTGGTTATTTTAAAATTATTATTACAAGATTAAAAATTATGACTTTCAGTGTCAATCAAAGACCATATGAATATTTTCAAACTTCCATTTCTATATTAACAATTATAACATAGATATTTATTATTCAACAGTGCGTTAAAGAAAGAAGTGGAATATTAGTCAAACTGGAAGGCATATAAGGTTAAAGATATTTGTACTGAAAAATTAAATTTACCATATAAAAATTCATTCCTATGCCCCAGAAAAATGATAAGCGAGGTGCAAAATCATCAATGCTTAGACCAGCTTTCAAACCTATTTTCAAACACAAATAACATGAGTATAAAAGGTCTCTTGATGAGTATTATAACACCATACACTTCAAAAACATATCCATCAAGAGACTTTAAAAATAAAATGTTTGAATTTATTTTCAGAATCATAATCCTTTTGGAAAATTTAAAAGCAAACTATCAAATTAGGCTCACAGTATGTTTTAATTTAAAAAGGATTGCGAAGACCTTATTTTATTCTAACCAATTATTTTTAATTTTAGAAACTTTCCCTTCCCTTCTGATTTCAGTTCACTGACAGAATGTAAATTTTAATGATGCAATATGCAAATCAAAGTGAGTTCGGAATCAGTATTCTTAGATTATATTGATACTCTATGTTCGGCTTTGCTGAGTGCAGACGATTTAGCGGTTTAGCTAAATAAGGAGCCAGTTGTGTAGCCAATCTTACTTTATTGTGATTTTACATCTTATTGTTAAGTTACTTAGCCACAAGTGGTGGTAGATTGTGAGCACTGAGCGAGTGCATTTTTTGTTAAGTTCAAATATAAAAGTTATTTAAACCTTCTTCTGCAGTCATCTCTTCTTACAAGACCTAGTGAGAATTTGCTACTTCGTCTTTTCAGCTAGGGTCTACCAGTGTATAATTCCAATACATATTTGACTCTACAGGATGTACTGTTTCAGTGCTTTAAAGTAACTCAGTCATAACTTGTAAACAAGTCTCTGTCAATAATACAAATGATTTTTGCTCAGCCAGCTGCACTGATTAAGGGGGGGGGAGAAACATATAAACAAGAAATGCATGTCTTAGAAGCAATATCTGTTCTATAACTTTAATTTTTATTCAATACTGTTGCTGGTTGTAATTTCATGACAGTATTTATTCTACGGAAGTACATCTTTTAAAGTTATAGTAGACGTTGAATTGATGAAAACTATCTAACCATGAGGCTAATTTGTAATATGTTCATGACACTATTTATTCTATATCTGTCTGGAAGAACAGCACCTTTTAAAGTACATGCTGAATTGATGAAAACTAGGCAAAATTGTAATATGTAATGTGAACTTTGCAATAAGATTGAAAAATCAAAATTTACCGCATAAAGTAAATTTATTTGAAAATTAATAATGGTATAAGCCTGAACAGACTTTCTTACATCACTTAAAATTTTCCATATCAGTTCCATGTATTTTATGAAACTCCTGTTCCAATTTATGTCCGATTTTACATTTGGGAAAATTATTTAATTCACAAATATATATGCAATGCAGGCACTCATAGTAATCAATTAGATGAATCTGAGATCAAACATCACCAAAGAACACTAAAATTTAACCCAATACTAAAGAAGACAAAAATTTAATTATAACAAATTTATTATTACCAAAGAAAAACAGTGAATGGTTACCTAAGAGCGTAGCAACATTAGGCAATACATATCTGGAAAGGTATCGCCCAATGTCTGTGGTGCCTACATCAGCCCATCTACAAGGAGAAACATAACAATGGCCCATCAGGTACAGTACAAAGTCTGTAATCTGGACGTCCATTATCTGGAATGATGTATAATTCGGACCTCAAAGCCACAAACTTACGCATGTGCGTTTAGTGCACGCGTCCACTATGCATACGCATAAAGCCAGTAAAGCGTTTACACATGTGCACAACTTTGTAACTGAACAAGAAATTATGTCTGTTTATAGAAGAGAGGATTAAAGAGAAAGTATTAGCACAAAAAACGAAGCAACTTAAACAACTTACATTGAAAGAAATGTTTAATAAAGTAAGCAAATAAATATTAAGCTTTTTTTTTTTTTTGTAAATTTTGATACCCTTTAGATCATAATTGCTCTTTATTTCATAAATTACTGTTTCATATTTTTAATTGTATAATTTCTGCATGCCATCTTACCAGATTTAAATTGATGATCTATAATCCGGAAAAACCCCTAATTCGGAATCGCCGAAGTCCCGGCGAGTCCAGATTATGGACTTTGTTTGCTCTTTGTACTGTATATGTTGTCAGCACTGACACCAGAAGTCATGACCATTAAGCATAACAGGAAGGTATGCTTTAATTGGTGACAACTAATAAAGATGAATATGGAAATCACATGTCCAAAGAGCAAATGGCAACTTCTGAATCAACGTTTTGCTTACTAAATAATGTAGGATGCAATTTTTTTTTAAAGATTTTATTATTATATTAACAAAATTTATGATGCAACATTTATTTCTGATCATTATTCCAATTGATTTATTCAGAAACAACAATTCTTTTTATTTTGATTACAGTGAATTATTATTGTAAGCTACAGAGCAATGTACTTTTTTATCTCATTTGTAAGCATTAATTAAATATGCTAAAATATCTTTCTGATTATTCATCCAATAATGAAAACACATTCACTGGGGACACCACTAACAGGCAATCTATAATGTCATGATGCAAAAACAGGCAATCTATAATGTCATGAAAAGGTATTTACGTGGCAATTTAGGTTTATACATGAGTGAGAATCCCAATTTGGCAGTCATTTTTCAGGTTAGTGTTTCTTCTCATTAGTATTTGATGAGTTTGTGCACTTTTTACCTTGTAAGGAATCATACCGGAACTGTGGAGTTTGTTAGCTGATGAAAAAGAAAGCATTATGTTTCTTCAGAAATACAGCATTTTGCCTAACAATAGAGATAGCAAAAATTTGCATTCTCTGAAGTTGAACTTCTAAATGATTGAATCTGTGCACCTCTGTTGCAATTTGCAGAATTCTCTGACAATTTCTTAAACAAAAACAGGACACTATATACATAGTAAAGCAGCAACATGTGCAGCTAAATTTCAGCAATTCTCTGACATCTTTTAAAATATAAACAGATCCCTGTGTACATGGGAAAACAAAAGTATACATAACACCAAGTTCTATTCCACGCCAAGTTTCTGCAGTTCTCTGATATTATTTGAATCTAAAACAAACCGCAACAACAGTAAACTTATTTGAATCTAAACAAATTGAGGAGAACAACATGAAGAAGGGGTAAATCAAAATTGCAATAACAACCTTGTATTTAGCGTACATATATTAAAACAATCAATTTCGATGGCAGCTAAAGGTTCCTCCTCATCAGGAGTACGAAATTACTAGAAAGGGGAAAAAAGAAGAAAAAGCATTGGCAAAGAAGTCTCCGAAACACATGGTTGTTATCAACACTGCACGTGGTCGTAACCGGATTTTGAATCAGAGTTACACTGGCCTCCTACTTTTACTGAGCCAGGCTATCTTATCAAACATATAACACAGAGACTAAAACGCAAAAAAATCAGCAAAGTAAAAAAAAAAAGGAGCGAGGAGCAACTGCACCTTCACACACCAAGTCTAATCCTCATTCAAGGTTTAGACTTGTACGCTAAATACAAGGTTGTTATTGCAATTTTGATTGTCACATTAGCGTGTTTCTCTTCTATTCTAAGAGGTAAATGTTTTATTATGGATGTTTCTTGCATTGTTTGATTTGTTGCTGTTTTATGTAATTCTTGTTTCCACTTTGCATCAGATTAAGCTAAAAAAAACTGCAAATACTGGCACTTTCATTAATCTTTTACAATTGGGGTTTAGGGAAAATTTCTTTAGAACTCTTTTCCCTTTTCTTCCAACTGCACCCTAAAACCTAACAAGAAAATGCATGAGATACCCTTCAAGAACTAGCAACTGACATTGAAAAACAAAATTCAGCTAGCATTTCTGGATTTATGTCAGGAAATTGAAATTACATTAAGTCCCCAATATTTTGTCAATACTAAGAATCTTGATATAAAACAGGCACTTTGAATAGTGGGGAAAGAAAATTTGAAAAATGCTTTTATGTGTATCAAGGGTTCCCAAACTTGCCAAACAAACAAAATTGCCCCATAGACTCCTTATAGGAAAAACCTCACAATGTACCTCCAAGTAGACGCATATCAGAAAAATTACAAATTTAACTTTGATGTTTTCAATGGCAAATAATGATGTAAAAATAAAATACAAATTAAACATTTTGATACTTAGAGTAATATTTATTGAAATTATATTTTCTTTTAAAATACAAAAACACACTGTTTTCCTAATGAGATAGGTGAACCTGATGTGATGATATGAAATTATTCATGTTGAGCTCCATGTTTGTAGTAACATTTTTAAGTCTCTACGAGCACTAAAAGTTAGTTTCTGTTTTTTGTGATGAGGCTTCTAACTGCATTAAATACACATTCTACTAAATAGGAAGTTATGGGAAAACAAACAGCAACTTTTCTAGTGACTCATAATGGGTTCAATAGCAAACTAGGAATAATCAAATGAAGAATGCCTTCAGATTTTTGACTACAGTCAGAATGAAGACTATGGTCAGAATGGTCAGTTAAGTGCTGATAATAAGAAAGCAAATCTTCACTTTGTTTTTGCAATTCTGCAAAATTTGCAAACTAAGAGCATTCTTCTCTCCCCAAATTTTGTTTGTGTAGAAACAGTTTCACAATACATTTAATTGATCACCTTATAGCTTCAAACTGGTTTCGCTACATTTGGCAAATAAGTGAGTCATATAAGCTATGCTATTTTTTAGATGAAAATTAAACTGGATACCAAGTCATTAGCTTTAAATTCCGAGGACTGCAACATTGAATCAATTGCATAAGATCGCTCCAACACGCACTTTTAGATAACCAAGAAACTTCTGTGTTAAGTAACAAACTAATTTTCATTTTGTAAACAAAGATAAATAATCTCTTATTTAAGGCACTCGTTTTGATTTTATTAACTATTCTAATCACACAAACTAATGAGCCATGCAAGCATTTACCAAGATTTATGGTGACTAAGTGTTATCGATAAATATATACAGATAATATATTCTGTATAGCTTGTGTTAAGTATAAGTATAAGCCTTGGTATCATCCTACCATTGCTAGGGCACTGTTAGTAGCTATGGAGAGAACTGCCAATTTCCCTAAGAAAAATAATGTTGAAAAACCTTTTAATTGCAGCTGTAATATTGTTTGTGGGTCACAACACTATTTGTCTTCCTTTATTTAGTTATATAAAAATATTTGGTACTGTTCTGTTATCAGGACCAGATTCAGAAATGTATGTATGTATATGTATGCACGCATGGATTTATGTGTTCAATGTATGCATATATGTAAGCATATATGTAAGCATGTATATATGTATGTGTATACCTACAAACATATATACACCTACATATTGGGTGTACAATAAGTTTTGAGGGATTTACATAAGATGGTGTTACTAGTGTTTAATTCCATGGGACAATCTTTACCTATATTCATGTTAAAGCGCTAGCATTTCCATCTAAAAATCAGTCTGTTTCAGTCTGTAAACGAAATTAATAGTTCTGGGCAAATTTCTCCTTTGGACTAATAGTCAATTATTTAGAGCAAGAGTAGCATAAGCTTTCTTTTTTGTGTCTCTGAGATTCCAAATGAGAATTTTAGAATCATTTTGTGCAGTAATAACATAAGTTCATTATGCAGATTAATTCATTTTCACTCACTGGAATAATTTGAATAGACTTTGGATGTATTTTAATCAATAAATTTAAAAAAATTTATTGATTAAAGTAATTCTGGTATTATAACTGGAATAATAATACCAGAACCCATGATCTGATTCTGATTTATCATTTAAGTGATTTTCTTACAAGTTAAGCACAAACTAATAAACAATTACAAACAATATAACAACATCACACTTACAAGACACATGACAGCAGCATCATGTTTCAATTAATAGGAAAAAACATAATGAAATTTGAAATTTTTATTAACATGAATAACTTTTTCCTTCTGTTACTTAATTTTAAGCTAGTATAGAAATAATGATTATCATAGTTACCAGTTCTACAGTATTCCAATCCATCTGCTATAGTAAATGCAAGTTCAAGAGTAGCATTGGCACCTGCTTCTTGAATGTGATAGCCAGAAATAGATATGGAATTAAACTTTGGCATATTCTGTAAAAAGAAATACATATATGCATAAATCAGAAACATTTACAAGGAGAAAATCAAACGGAAATTGTACTGGCATTACTTTTCTAATACAATTTATAAACAGAAATAATGTATTGAAAATAACACTGATTACTTAAAAGAAAGTTTATTACTATATATTTGAATTTATAGACACATCAGTTCCGTCAAAACTAATATCATTAACAGTACATACATTGTAAATAAAGTCAAAAAATATATTTATTGACACATCAATATTTTGATTATTAATCAACACTAGAACTTGTTAATTAAATAATCTTTTTATCATGAGGACTTATTCTCAAATAGATGTCAGTTAAAATTAACAATAAAACAGTATTTTAGAGGGGGGGGGAACTGAAAGATTTCAGATTTTAAATTGCATCCAAAGGAGCATTTTTTTAATGTTTTGTGTGTTACCTTCATTTATTAAATATCATGTTCTTCGCACTTAAACCATAAAATTCAGTTCAACAGGAATATCGCAAAATAATTTTAAAACACACAGTTCCGCGCCCGCTGCAGATAAAAAGAATTTTTCTCCCCGCCGTAGAGTGTTGCCATTACTCGCTTTTAAATCGTTGAGTTTGTTAATCAAAAATTCGTTAAAGTTTTAGAAAATATGAAATAGATAATAAAACAAATTCCAAATTTGGGCTTCCAGATGCCCGTATTCAAGTGGAAACATACGTTATTCAAAACTAGATGGCTCCAGGTACCGTTGTTTTATCACAATGCAAGAAACATACATACATTTATGCAGATTCTTCATTATTTAATTTCTTTAAGTACAATACAGGGCAATAATACTTGGTGGCAATGACTTGAAAAGTGAATTGGGCATTTATAGAGAACCAATGCAAAATGCCAAAACAAAAATAATAGTCCTTCCAGGGCAAATTGACCCTTTGGATTAAAGAAACACTCTAAAAAGTTCTAGCCATGATACACATTTTCTAATTTCTTTTCCTTGCACATACACATAAAATACTAATTATAAGAAAAAGAAATTTTTCAAATAATTTTCTTTACTGAAAAGTTATCAGTTACGTTATACTATAATGAAAGATTTCCTTACCTTTATATTATTACTTATGATACAACAATTTTTGAATACATTATATTTTGCAGTTTCTGAATTTATACATATATTATCTCAACTTTGCAAAAGTATTAATGGTGTTTGAGAAAAATCTTGTCCTAATTTCACTCAAAATTCATATTTTATACACGAAAGGCAATGATAAATACTTAAAGTGCATTTATAAGATTGTTTTGTTAAATGTCTAACAACAAAGGATACAATTACCATAGATCATAATTATTTCTCATGTTATTACTGCCCATGTACTGACACTAAAACAAATACTTTCATTATTGCATAAAGTATTTAAACTGTACTACTGTACTGAAGATTCTGCACAGCCGAAAATTGCCACCTTTGTGAAAGACACCAAATTTTGAGGTGCTAAAAATCTTGAAACCATGCATATAACAATAAATTGATTTTAACAAGCAATATCCCCATTTTCATATGGATAATTTTGATTTATTCCGAATTCCAACAGTTTTTTGTCTTATATTCAATTTTAAAATAAGTAAGATTTACATGCAAAGGAAGAAACTGAAGTAAAACTTCTGTAGGAGTACAGTATTTTACTGCAGAATCTTTAAATAAAACAATTATTTTGAATCTGATCTTAAATTGACTGCAATTAAATCCAAACAGAGAAAAAAATTATAAGTTGGTGTACTGATTGATTTTCAGGATAAATACCCAATTAAAACTTTTACATATAATTCATAATTTTTTGCAATTATAGCCACTGTACTTTTTCTTCTATAAAATATCGCCAAAGTGCATTAAAGTGGTCGCGCTAATATTAAAGCATCTTATTTACTTTGATATAAAATTTATTCATGAAAAATACTTTTTTTGCAGAATAATAAAAAAAGACACATAACAACTTCATAAAATGTTAATTTTTATTTATTATAATCTTAAAAATATTTTTATATACTCATTATAACTGTTTTACATTTATTAGAAATTTATTATTAATCTATATATAAAGAGTCTGTGTGTCTTTCGTTCATACTATGCATAAGCTAATAGACCCAGGGCTACAAAATTTGGTATATGGGTGCATCTAGACAAGAGCCAGTGCACCTCGAAGCGATTTTTCAAAATTTGAATCAGATTTTTTTAAAATTTTATCTTTTCGATTCTATTGCATCATTTTTAATGGTTTCATTCTTTTAGAAATGTGGTATTGGCAACAGTTTTTCATTCAATTGTAAACTAGACTGTTGAAAATCAGCATTGTTACCAATTAGAAAAATGAGGGTGATAATTCTGTGCAGTTTTTAAATTTAATGTTTCTCTTGGATACTGGACGTTTGTTGAGAGAAGGCAACTGGAAGTTGGTTAATTTATTTATTAGGATAACTGATATTTGTATTAAGGGATATTACTTATTTTATTGTAATTTTGTTATATGTAAAACAATTTTTTTAAAAATTTGTTTGTTAGGCTTTTTTTGATGAATTTGTTCAACAGAGTAAAATTCTGTGCAGTTTTTAAATTTAACGTTTGGTGTTCCCTTCAGGCATTTTTCCAGCACATTTAAAAGCCAGACGAAAGCTAGCAGCTTAGCTGCTAGTATATCATATTACATACATATATTATAAAACATTCAAAATATAAAATAATTATCATTGGACACATTGAATAAATAGTAGTTTCCCACAATTTAAACTTATCATTATATAAAACACAGTGGACAAAACCATTGTGTCTTTATGCATAAATTATAAATTTCTGTGTGGTAGGGAAAAATATAGAAGTATCTAATTTTCCACGATACACGGAATTATATGAATACTGATATGTATGCTTTACATGAAATTTTGAAATTCATAAGATTTTTGGAGTAAGTCATCCAAAAAGTTGTGCTATTTTTTTTAAATTTCTTTCAAAAAAGTCATTATGTTTATTCATAAAGAAGAAGTTATTGAGGTGCTGTTTGACAATCTCTAAAGAAGTGAACTCTAGACCAACGGTTCTCATCCTTTTGACTAACGCATACCACCTAAACAAAAACTGAAAAACTTTAGTACCACCATTACATTTTACAATCTTTATTTCTCAGTTTCTCAATAAAAATATTTTGCAATTTGCGCAACTTATTGGTTATTTGTATTAAACATGCACACGTAAAAAATATTAGATTGAAAATTTTTTCCCAAATTAATTATACAATTTAAGTTATAATAATACTTTAAATTCAAAAATTTAGTGTGAAATTTGGGACTTTTAAGAAAAATCACTTTCCTTATTTCTGGTATTATTTCATTTAATTTTAACCATAAATTAGGACCCACTTTTAATTTTGCCCTGTATTTAATTTTTAAATGTGACATGGAAGAAAATTCTTGTTCACACAAACAGGTTTGCAAAAAGGCAATAAAAGTTTAATAGCTTTATTTGAAATACCTTTAAATTCTTTTTTTTTTTTTTTTTTTCCACCCAAAAGTTAACAAGTGTGTTATTTTTGAAATCTTCAGTCACAGGAAATTTCCATCAATTATTCTTTTCTTCACGAGTTTTTGAATTGAATAGTTAAAAATACTTTCTTTCTTTGCATACCACCTATTTTTCTCTTTACCACCAGTGGCATGCATTCCACCGGTTGAGAATCACTACTCTAGACAATTTTGAAGTGACTTGAAGAGACAAAAATCCAGGAAGGCAAGATCTAGAGAATATGGAGCTGGCTCAAAACATCTCAGTCATACTCAATAAGTCTTTATCTGATATTCATTGAAATGCGGGGGCAAGCATTATCATGACGCAAGACAACACCTCGAAGATTGGTCAGTTCTCAGCATTTTGTTCTGATTTTTGCTTTTAAAACTGACATTTGAGAACATATTTTTCTGACTGGATTATTTAATTTGATGGCAACATTTCATGCTTTACATTTCCTTTGCAGTCCCACCATACATGAAGTATTACTTTTTGGGAGATGTAGCTCCCCTCAATATTATTAAAAAAGATGCCTTAACCCATGACCTTTTTCTTGTAACATTGTTTCATAGCATTCATTTCTCATCTGCAGTAATGAAATGTTTCAAAAAATTTTCCAGTAAAGAATCATAAAAAAACACAAGCAAACATATATTGCCTTATTAAAATATAGGTTATCCATACATCGTAGCAGCTTACATTCCCGAGCTTATTCAAATGATTGTGTACTGCATTTTTTGGACTATTTATTCTTTCAGATAGGTCCTGAATTGTATAATGTGGAATTTCAGTGATTTAATAGATCTTTGTTTATAGGAGGATGGTCATCAACAATATCTTCAAGGCTAACTTAAGCATAGACTTAAACTTCTCATATCCCTTTTGAACTTTTCCCATATATAACCCAAATTTTGCAAGCAGTTTGACAGATGTTCCCCCCCCCCACGTTTTTTAAAATAAAACAACATAATATGATGAAAATGAACTTTTGGATTCTCCATTCCTAGCACTGCATGCAAACCAAAATTATGCCACAACCAATGCATGAAATATGCAACATGAATAGAAAAGACTGTATTTAAATATCCAGTTTCGATTAAGGTTACTGCTTGTTAGCAGTAACAAGATAATCAGAAGGAAACATGCTTCAATTTGAAAATGAAATTTGAAAATGGTCAGATGACTCAATATACTGCAGCTAAAATGCAAAATTTACAGGATACTAAACTACAATCGAACATACAGATATAACTTATAAAACTGAAGAAAATTATGTGCGAGAAAACTGCATAAAATATTAACCTCAAACAAAACATTTTATACTAAAATAGTCTAAAACAGCATTTCTTGACTGGTGGTACACAAAAGGAAAATAGGTGGTACTCAAAGAATCAAAGTATCTTTAACTATTAAATTTAAAAATCTCGTGAAGAAAAGAAAAATTGATAGAAATTTCCAGTAAACGAACTCTAACTGAAGATTTCAAAATTAACACACTTCTTAACATTTTGCTGAACCCCAAAAAAGAATTTAAAGGTGTTTTAAATAAAGCTATTAAATTTTTATTGTCTTTTTGCCTAATCTATTTATGTGAACAAGTATTTTCTTCCATGTTTTATTTGAAAAATTAATATAGAACAAAATTAAAATTGGATCCTAATTTAAGGTTAAAGTTAAGTGAAATAAGAAAGAACAGACATACAGAAATTGATCCGTCTTAAACAGGCCCAAATTTTACACTAAATTTTCGAATTAAAGTATTATAGTTTAAATGGTAACCAATTTTTAATTTAATATTTTTTATGGTTGCACATTTAATATAGCCAATAGGTTGTGCAAATGGCGAAATATATATATATATATTAATATTTCTGTTGAGAAATTGAAAAAATAATCATTCTAAAATGTAGTGATGGTACTAAAAGTTTTTGATTTTTGTTGAGATTGTGCGCCTTAGTCAAAATGTTAAGAACCAATGGCCTAAACACAAGAACACACATACCAAGATATAAATACAACACACACATATACACAAAAAATATGCTTTAAAATAATTATTTTAATATCACGATTAATATCTGCTTGCATAAATTCCCAATAAGTTCTCATAAATGTAATTTAAGAATATAATCACTTACTTTTGACACATATTCAAAAATGTCTCCAATAATTCTCATAGAATGGTCAGGAGGGTAAATGTATGTATTTCGAACCATAAATTCCTTGAGGATATCATTCTGTATCGTTCCAGAAAGTAACTCCTTCTTAACACCCTAAAATTCATTATATTTTAAAAATATAAAAATATTACTCTTCATCAAATTCTGCAAGGTATTAATAAAAGAAGTATTTTAAATTGCTAAACTACCTGCTCTTCACCAGCTACAATAAACATTGCTAGTACAGGAATAACAGCTCCATTCATTGTCATAGAAACTGATATCTTGTCCAAAGGAATTCCATCAAAGAGTGTTTTCATGTCTTCCACAGAATCCACTGCAACTCCGGCCATACCAACATCTCCTAAAACTCTGCTGTTGTCAGAATCATATCCGCAATGAGTAGCAAGATCGAATGCAACTGAGAGTCCTTGCTGGCCCATTTTTATGTTTTCTTTGTAAAAGGCATTACTCTCCTCAACAGTACTAAACCCAGAATACTGTTAAAGAAACATGAAGTCAACGTCAGACAAATATTTATTATATTAATTTTGCAGAATAGAAATATTAAAGAAACTTCATTTTGTCTATCTATTTTTCATTTTAACCTCTAGTGAAACGTTGAAAACAAGTACTAATTTTTTTAAATGAAATTTTCATCTCTTCATTAAAACTCAAACTAGCACATAATTTAAAAATATCTTCAGTACCTGATGATACTGTTAAGGATTTTGTATATATGTAAATACTTTTAGTGAAATTATATGTGAAGTTATAGTATTTTTTTTTTTTTTTGTATAATGTAACGTGAAATGGTTGAAAGAGATGAAGCTCTGCAGAAAAAATAAAGTTACAGGACCACGTTTATTTAACACTGAGGTAAATGCTATCTCGCTACATTGGGAAGATATCGGCAAGTTGACGACTAATTTCTGTCGCTGAATTAGGTAAGAAATAGCAAAACCTGGCAACCATTTCTTGACATTTTTGTCCTGACTGTGTAACTGTAACTAGTACAGTAACTGAATGACTGTACATGATCACAATATATGTACCTGTAACCATATCCAGCCCTTATGTGTAAATTTAACTGCATATGCCTTCCAGTAATTTCAAGAAGGTACTAGAGATTTCTCGGTGGCCAGGAGAAAACCATATAAGCCCGAAGAGTGCATCTGCTCTAAATTGTTTAACCCCTTCGCGCCGACTGTCACGTATGCATGCCAGCAACGAATGCACTTATCTACCGGCCGACACGCAGGCGTGCCAGAGCACTGTTGCGTTTTCTACCGAATGTCACGTATTTGTGCCAGGACCTTGGAACGTTTTTCAAACTATAATTTCTGCCACAAGATGGCACTGTATGCCCATATGGTTTCAGATACATGTACATTAGACTTTCTACTCGAAATGAGAGAAGCATGACTCACATACACGTGTTTTTGATTATATAAACAAACGGGGAACTAAATGTTTCCGAATGGCGTGATTTATGACGTCTCTTTAAATCGCACTTTATTCGCACGTAGTAGTTGTTTATTGTAAGTAGAAGTTTTATATGCGCTAAAGTGTTGAGTATTTCGGTTTACAGTTCAGTTTTTAGAAAATAATTAGATCTTGTTAGACGTGAATTCTTTCTGTTTTTTCTGTTTTTACCGTTTCAATGTCGAAGCGTCGAAAATGTTTAACAGAGCATGAAATAGCAGAAATGATGCAAAATATTTCAGATATTGATTCTGAAAGATTAACCGAAAGACATTTTCCAAAACTTTGTTCAGAAGAGACTGATAAGAAAATGAGACGACGATGCTTCGTTTGTTCACATTCCCGGAAAAATCCTCCAAAACGGCAAATGAGTTATTACTAGTTCAAGAAATGTAATGTAGGACTGTGTGTAGATCCCTGTTTTAAAATTTTTCATACAAAAAGAGAATTTTAAGTAATATATTTAGTTTTCAGATGTATAATGTTAAAAATCATAAAATGGTGAGTAATTAAAATAAAATGTGTAAAATATGCATTTAGACAAGAAATAAGGTAATTAAAGTATATATATAAAAATATCTATAAAGCATAAGCCATTTAAATACTCTATAGAGCATTATTAAACAATGCGTTGATACTTCGGAAATTTAATGGATTTAGGCTTAGTAGCAAAAAAGCCCCAGGCCCTGGAGAGACGCTCGCTGAAGACACTGCCGGCCTCCGCGATAAGCGCGCGTTTTCGCTAGCCGGCTCGAAGGGGTTAAAGCATTGAATAAAGAGTATTGAAAGATCTCTGTGTGAGCTTCACCTTTTAAATACGCTTTGTATTATGTTGTGATTAACATTTTTAACATTTTCAACTGTAACTGCTCATTGTAACCCCTGATATTGAAAAGAGCTCTAAGAATATTTTTGTGGAAAATTCCAGAACTGTAAAGTGTTTCTTTTGGTAAAATTAATTTTATCAGGCTATCATCGATTCTGTATACGCTCAATATACATTGATGGATGTCAAAATTGCAACACCAGGAAGGAATGATCTGAGAAATGTCAAAATCACATGAAAGGAAGAAGAGGTTGCGATATGCAAATGATTAGTATTTCAGTGCATTTAAACGATGCAGGAGGGAGAAACGACGTCTGAAGCACTGCATAAAAGAAAAGTCGTGTAGCGGATTTCTCGTTTGGAAAACACTTTGTAAGATCAGAGTTTGCTCAGAATATTGCGTTATTCCTCAAATAATAATAAGAAATGCTTACCAGGAAGTGTCAGAATTCGATAGATGCAGGAGTGTGGATTATCATTCTGTGACATCACCCGTCACACTGGTTGATATCCAACCACTGTCATGCGAATATGGATTCAATGGATTGCTGAGGATCATACTGAATCGCATGCAGGGTCTCAATGCCCTCCCATGACTAACGCCCGAGAGGACAGATATATTGTGAGGTCAGGACTACATAACCATACAACCATATCATGGGCCATTGGTCAGAAAATGGGCAAGTTTGCGGCATGCCCAGTATCAGCTCATACGGTTCACCGACGTTTGCAGCAGTGTGGACTATCAGCACTGCGACCATTATTTCAACATCCCTTGACAATGCAGCATAAAAAGAGACAACAACTCTGGTGTGCTGGATACAGGAGTGGCACAATGTCGTCTTTTCATACGAGTCCCAGTTTTGCGCAGGTCTGTGGAGACAATAGAGGAAATGACCGACTCTGACTCCTGGAATTTATTATGAAATGGAAAAACTGGCGTTAGTAATTTCTAAGAAACAGTATAGCTTCGGCAAGATCTTCCTTGTTGGAGGGCCATAGATCCGATTTGATAAACTTCAGAGCTGAGAAGAGCCTTCCACACTTTCCAACTTGAGGAAGAGCTGTTACTGTTAGAACTACTTCTTTTAACTTTTCAGGATATATTTTTATAAGTTCTAAAAGAGGTGTCTTCTTGCAAGTGCAATCATATTATCCATATTTCTTGAAAGGCCGTGTAGAAATCTCCTTTGTATTTTTTCATTTTTATATCCTAAAGGCACTTCTTTTTTTTATTTTTTTTTATTTTTTTTTATTTTCATTCGCTTAGCCTTATCGAATATTATCCAAAAATTATTTCTCAAAATCTAATTCAACCCTAATGAAGAAGACAGGATGATGGAGACTCAACTGCAATGTCTGCAGTTTGACTGTCCTGATTCGAATTCTCCAATTTTTCTGAGAATAACTTTATTCTTAATGAAAGTTCACAGAATGGCTTTCTTTGCCTTTTAATTTGTTCGCCATCCAAGAAAATTCTGTGTTTCGTATCTACCATATATTGAATCCCAGCAAGATATCATTGTCTAAGCAAAACTAGTTTCTCTTTTTCCTCATTGAAGAAATGATTCCATTCTGCAATAAACCCTCCATTTTCAGAAAGAAACAAACATCCCATTCTCCGCCTCCTGTCAAATTCTTCAGATTGCAGCTTTTTTGTCGCTATATACAGTGTAGGAAAGAAAAGTTTCCAATTTTGCAAGATCATTCCACAGTCTTTCTCTTAGTGAAACATTAGGGTTATCTACATCTCCTAAAAAATTCTTAATTCTAAAAACCATCAAATATGTACATATCATAAAATATGTACATTCCTTACCGCATTATTTGATTAATAATTGCTCCTCTTTCCTGCTCGCTTCCTAAGAATGGCATCAAATTTCGGCAGTTCTTGCTGCTATTGCTGCTTACTTAAATTTATCAGCGAGATTTGTAACTAAATGAAATCAGTTTAATCACTAAGGGCAAATATCACATTCCATCCTCCTCAGTCCTTATATTTATTAAAATGTCAATAAAACACAAAATAACTATTTATAAATATATACAGTTTAAAAATAAAAATAATAACTCAGCTTGCCATTAATTTTTTTCAATTCATTTTAATTTCATTTCAAATTCAAACTATCCAGGAAAAATTGGAGTCGGAGTCGACCAACTTTTTAGCGACTCCAGGTCCGACTCCTTTTACCCCAAAATCTACCCAACTCTGATTCCGACTCCACAGCCCTGGTTTTGCGTGCGCTATTCTGATGGCCGTACACGTGTCTGGAGGCTTTGAGGAGACCATACACATCACCTGCTCGCGTTCGATATTGGCATAGGGCCCAGCACCTGATGTGATGGTTTTCGCTGCCATTGAGTACACAACACGCACATCCCTAGTTCAGATTGAGAGTAATTTGAATGCTAATCGGTACATTTCTGACATCTTGGGTCCAATGATTGTACCTTATCTTCGAGGCCTGCCAAACGCTATCTTCCAACAAGATAATGCAAGACCACATGTTACCCGTCTTGTTCTGGCCTTCCTCTATACACAGGATATTCAATTGCTGCTCTGGTCTGCACGATTTCCCATTGAAAACATCTGGTCATTGATTGCTGAGAGAGTGGCCCACTACCCCTATTACTTACCCGTTACTTAATACAAAATAATATGAAGGTTAATCCGCATACCAAATTTGAATCAACATTAAACATTTTAAAACTTGCTGATGGATCTACGTATTCCAAATAATTTAAATAATCCTTTAATTTTTTGTAAATAGGTTACTGCGTACATACATATTCATATTAGAGTGAATTCACACAGAACAAATGGCACCTTGATCAAATTTATTTTCCCAGAAGAAGAACTTTACACTTCTATACTTTCCACTCGTATAGCTTTTCTCAGTGTCAAAAAGGGCAATTAGTAGCTCCACTTCAAACTACTAAGTATGTTAAACACAATGCATTGCAAAGTGTATCTAAAAGGCGAAGCTCTCATGGAGATTCTTAATACATTGAAGTCAGTTCTTGATACTCTGAAGTCAATAAATTAAAAACTGAGAGTTATGCCCTCTCTCATTTTATATAGATTTCCCCTGGCCGGCGAGAAATCTCTAGTATTTTCTCCTTTTTGAAATTACTAGAATTAAACATGGTTAGAGTTACATACAGTCAGAAGTCTTTAATCCGGACTCG